TAGTTGCCAGCCAGTAGGAAATGTCTCAGTCCCCAGCTTAGCTTATGTATTGAGGATTTTAATTCTTTCTCCTGGGATTTCAGGTATTCTCACAATATCACATTATGAAAATTTAACTTGTTTTTCCCAAAGCAGTTTAAAACACAAATTTGTTATTCTAGATAATTCTCTTCCCACATCCAACGACCCTTCCAGTGCCCTCCCAATCCTGAAACAGACCTCAGCAATCTTCAAAGATGACTGTACACCAACCACAGATCTGCCTGCCATGTAACAAATGCTGAGAAAGGCAAATGCAAGTACTGAATTAGGACATTTGCCCAGCCTTCTATTAATTACCATGAGTATAATACCCACTATGATAAGGCCTCATCTGTGTTGCACTGAGCCAGACAGTTACTTTAAACTGAACTTTGTCCCCCGCTGCCAAAGACCCAGCTCTCAGTAGGGACTAGAAACTAGGGCTTATTGGCAAGTTCTTAGTATGTTGCCAGAAGATGGCATAGGAATTTGAAAAAAATCTGCTGTTCCTGAACATTCTGTTTATTCTGAGAAAGTACAGTCCCAAACAGTATTTTATGTAAGTCCCTATGTGCTCGCTGTGGTGCACTAACTTGAAGCTCATGTATTTTGAAAAAATGACATGCACAACAAATCCTCTGTGCTTACCTTACAGCAGTCTGTGTGTTTTCCAGGCTGGTCTGGAAAGGCTGTCAGCAGCCTTTGGAGGTGGATGATTTGTGGCCTGTGAGGCAAGAGGACTCCTCTGAAGAAATTGTTGCCTGGGCTGAGAGAGAGTGGAAGAATTATCAGAGCAGAACCCAGCAGTGAGTACTTCAGCACATATTCAGGCTCTAGAGATAAGGTCTTCTTGGTGCTTGCTATCTCAACAAAAGATTCAATCCCACTGAATTGTTTGTCTGTTCAAAAGAAGAAGAAAAGGATATTATACATAAAATGGTCCAAGTAATGCTCTGCTATGAAAACTTTAGGGGGTCTTTTCAGTAGGTGAGTGCTCAGAGAATTCCTTTGTACAAAATCTGATTTTAAATGTTGAAATCTGCTGGAGAAGATTGTTCCACTCCTGTAAACACAGAACTGTTTTTTGTAAAAAGGATCATTTTTTGATGAGCATTTATACTGGACATGGCATGAGACCCAGAGTGAGATCTTTAATGATTTTCTTGAAAGATCTTGAAAGATCCCCAAGCTTTCTCCAATTGTGGCTAGATTTCCTCTTTCTTTCTTTAGAAAAATGGGGACTGCTACATTTAAAAAGGATCAAAAGAATGAAACTGGAAGAGTTTTTTTTTAGCGGAAGCAGAAGAGACAGAGGTTCTACTACAATCAAAGCACAGTCAGAGTGGGCCCTTACTGAAAGCATTTTGGAGCATGTTTGGAACCTATTTCCTTCTCAGCACTGTCTGCCTAGTTACCTGTGATGTCTTCTTGTTCTCCATCCCAAAGTTGCTGAGGTATGTGCACAATTTTAATGTATTTCTATCACATGTACAAGGCTGCCGTGTACATGAGCTCACAGAGATGCGTTTGCCAGCACCCACAGAGGTGGACACACAAACACTTGCCTTTTGAAATCTATTTCTGATGAAAAGAGCTGAATCACCATTTGTGCTAAGTCCATGGACAGTGGGGGAATGAAACAACAACCAACCACTCACTAAAGGTGTGCACTTTCTCCACTGCTGTATTCCAGCAGTGGAAGGGACAGGCTGCACTAAGCCTCTGACAGCTTAACCAGAACAGGAGTGAGTTATTTGATGGTCTAAATATCACATAATTTGCACAGGCTGTCAGCCACTTGCTGTAGTCTTACTAAAGAGCACAGCTGAGCATCTTCCACATCCTAAATAGCTTCTTTAGTCAGTTGACAATGCTTTGTGGATTGTGTTGGTACAACACAAACCTGCATTACAGTATATTTTCAGGGGCAAAATCACTCCTTAGTCATAAAGAGAAGTTCTGAAAATGCAAATGACTCCCTTAGATTATGTCTCCCAATTTGCATATTTCTGACAAATTAATCAAATTCAGGAGCCATCCTTCTCTGAAAATGAAGTCTCCCCTGAGAAGATGGTAAGAGTAGCTAAATGTCAGAAATCAGGATATTATAAGAGATAAGATGTGTAGCAGTTTTTCCAGCTCTTTTTGTTTACTGATAAACATCAGCCAGAGAAAATACAGAAAAATCCCTGGTATTTCATCAGTTCTACATGGATTCACCAAGGTTTTGTCCCTATCTTGCAGCCTTTTCCTGAAGTTCAGCAAAGATCAAGAAGCACCAAGCTGGCATGGTTATTTCTATGCCTTCACTATGTTCCTTTTGGCTTGTCTCCAGACTCTGTTTGAACAACGTTACATGTACATGTGTCTTGTTCTGGGGTTGAGACTGAAAACTGCAGTAACAGGGCTTGTGTACAGGAAGGTGAGTCTGTAGCTTTCTTTTCAGCCTTACATTAGTAGTTATTTTATTGTTTTTTAACAATAACATTTAACATTGTTTTTAACAATATCGGGGAGATGTTAATGGAAACTACTTTTAGGGTTTAATTCTGTGCTGTGTTCATCTCTGAACAGTATGTGGGAGATATTTTACTATTTATTTTTCAGATCTTACCTCTGAAGAAAAAGCCAAGAAAACAAAAGAGGAAAAAGCAACAAACACTCTCTTGTACTGTAGATTAGAGCTAGGGAACAGAGTAAATTCTCATCTTCAAGTGACAGTACATATTGCAGGCAACAGTGTGTGTTCAGTGCCTACGATTCAACATCCTGCTCCCTCTTTTTTTTTCTTTCTTTCTTTATACAGAAAATTGTTAAGATTTTCAGATGAAAATTGCTGTTTGATGATGCCTTTCCTTTCTTCTCTACCCCATCTAGATCCTAGTTATGTCACATGCATCAAGAAAAGCAGCAACAGTGGGTGAAATTACTAACCTGGTATCTGTTGATGTCCAAAAGCTAATGGATCTGGTTATCTATTTTAATGGCATCTGGCTTGCTCCTATTCGGATTATCATCTGCTTTGTTTTCTTGTGGCAGGTAAACTATGATGACAGTACTTTATCAATCCCTTTCTGCTATAGGTATCAAAGGAAAAAAGAGCTTTCTAAACTCTGCGTAGAGCTTTTTCACTCTGCATAAGCTGCAATTACAATCTTTTTCTTAGCTATGTAGCATTGTGGATTCACTTTCCTTTTTAGAAGATACTTTTATTGGTATAGAAGCTTATCCAGTCCTTCACTTCATCCTCTCACCTGTGTATGCAGCATCCAGTTTCTTTCAGGGAAAAAACTGCAAGTAGGGTTATTCTGAGCTGATTTATAAACGGCTTCAGATTTCCTTTGTCACCTCTCTTTTCAACCAAAATGTCATGGCCCAGTACAGGCTGAGAGTCCAGTTCCAGCTCTTCAGTATAGTTACAGAACATAAAGGGGAATGGTTCTGAAAGACAGATCAGTTAGACACTGTCTATGATACTCAGAAAGAGCACTGGGTAAATAGGTATCAAGGAGTTTAGCAAAATCCGAATTAGAAACAAAGGATGATAATCTAAAAGATCCTTTATACTGTAGGAATAGTTTGTTGAGGGCTTGGGTTTGTTTTTTAAACGAAACTTAGTGTTTCGGGTCACTTACTTACGCCAGCCACAAGATGTCGTGCTTTACACATCCGAGAAAAGATGGGAAAGAAAAGAGCTACTACTTGAATTGCCGGCGAGCTTCTGGCTTACTTTCAGCAGCAATCTAGTTCCTAAAAGGGAAGCAAATAAATCCAAGAGAGTGTGATGACAGGAGTTACCCTGCCTGGTGAGTTAACAATCCACAATGCTTAGGGAGCACAATTCCCAGGAAAGGCAAAGGCAAGATTAAAGCCTTAGCTGTGAGGGATGTTAGGCTTAAATTCAAATAAGAAGTAAGGTGAGCAAAGGGGGAATGGAAAAGTTGTTTCTAGCAATCACAAGAAGTCCTTCCTTTTTCTCTCTTGACAGCTTCTTGGGCCATCTGCCTTGACTTCGATTGCTGTATTCCTTTTTCTTTTGCCTCTCAATTTCATCATCACAAAGAAGAGGAGTCAGTTTCAGGTACGTTTTGCTTCATAAAAATGATTTATGGACTTCAGTCATGCTAGGATATTACTTGTAAATCTAAGTCAAAGGCTGCCATGCTCTTTCAGGAAGGGACCAGATGGAACCTAAGGCTACTAATGATTACAGTAGGCATACATGATGGGGAAAAAACAAGAAAACCCAACAAAATCCCCAAATAGTATTTTTCTGAATCCTATCACTAACATTCAGCAACAAATTATGGCTTAATATTTATTAGTTATGTTGATCATGACTGTCTGAAGGAGCACAGGAGGATTCAAAGTCTGCAAAGTTTATTGAAGTTTAGAGTAAGCTCTTGCATGTTCAGTCTTTAACCTTGGTTGCCCATCTTTTCTGTGAATTTTTTAATGTATCGCCAGTAAAAATAAAGCTCTGAAGATGAAAAAAAAAAAAGTATTTCCCAGCCTGGAAGATTCATAAGTGAAACAGGATACACAGCTCAACTGCATGGAAATATACTCAGAATTTGCAGGCAGGAATAAGGTATTTTTTCAGAGTAATCAACTGTTCAACATCCAACCTATTAAACTATAAAATTCAAACGTTTACTGCAGGAGACACTGATGAAACATAAAGATGAGCGAGCTAAACTCACCAATGCCATTCTCAGCGACATGAAAGTAATCAAACTGTATGGCTGGGAGAAAATCTTCATGGAGAAAGTGCTTGGTATCCGGAAAAAAGAACTTCAGGCCCTAAAAAGATCTCAGATTCTCTTCTCAGCATCTCTAGCTTCTTTCCATTCATCAACTTTCCTGGTGAGTGGCTCACCTTCCTACATAAAGCTCTTACTTCCATTTATCTTTGCACACCTGTCTGGACAGATTTTTCCTGTGGGACTGCTGAAGATAGTATCTGCCCAGAGGAGTTGGTGGTCTCTCAGGAGTTGTTGAGCCCGAGTGGAATCAGCCACATAGACATTTACACTGTTCTAACAGGACCATGGACGAGTCACCTAGGGTGGCAGTAGGCTCCAGGCAGACTGAGCTGGCTTTGCAAAAGAACCACCTGGCAGTCTCCAGTACGACAGGCTTCATGGCACAGTCAGTAGCTGCACAAAGCCACCCACTTTTGCACTTGCTGTTGCAGCTCAGCCATACATGTCTTCAACGGGAAATGGCTGTTCTCACCTTGCTGTGGCTGCTGTGACAAACATACCTTTGCTTGTAATATTTGCAGGACACAGATGGGCAATAACCTGGATTTAACTAAATGGGTTCCAGAGTCTTTAGAAAAGAGCCTGTCACTCTTGAACCCTTCTCTGTCTGAAGCGAACTGTTTGCTTTTCCTTTGTTCCCTTTCAGATTTCCTTTGTCATGTTTGCTGTGTACACCCTGGTGGATAACACGCATGTCCTGGATGCTGAGAAGGCCTTTGTATCTTTATCACTGATCAACATTCTCAACACTGCACACTC